CGCGGTCGCGTTTGCGCCTTGCACGGCAGAACTGCGCCTCAAGATCGCGCAGACACTTCGATTAACACCATCCTTTGGCAAACGCTTCTCTAGTATCGTCTCGATCTGGGTATGCGCGGGGGCGCCGCCGATCACGAATTTTTTGACATGTATTCCACGCCGCCAGCGTCGCGCCGATAGCCAAAAACCTTCTCTCCCCTAGTAGGGTGCACAGACACTGACCTCTACTATACTAACTGGACGATTGGCAGCCCGGATCCGCGCCGAAGCGCGAACAACGCCGCCTCCGCGGCGCGACACTGGAACTTTTATTTGCCCTGCATTGATTTCGAATCACATTCCTCAGTTCTTCGGGAGAGCATAAAAAAGCCCCATAATCGTCATATCAGCAGTTGTGCGCGATTCCACAAACCCTTTTACACTACGACACGTAGGTAAGAGATTCGAGTCTCGAGTCTTATACCAATGGTCGTTATTGTTGGTTGCCTGCTTCGGCGCGCGTCCTTTTCCTGCATAGAAATAAATTTACGGTTTGCGGTGTTTCATGCCCTTGGACATTATTTTCCAAGTTATCGCGTCCCGATAGATTGCGCAACCGAGTCCATGTACATACATTTTTCAAGTAGTTTTAGAAACGCTTGGCTGAACTGATCTACGAGTGCCTGCGCGGCTGGAGAGTTCACACGCTAGCGTAACTTACTTCAGTGTAGCAACGATAGTTGCTGAGTGAAGGTCGGGTAGCAGTCTAAGCCCTGCAATCGTCACTTGCCGTTTCAACTTCGCGCATATACATCTATAACGAACACCTATTGTGATGTTCTCATGTTTGCCCATTATCACGTGATAGGCTACAGCATATATGATCTATAGCCCACAGAAGAGAGCATTTGTCGCATATTCGATGGCCATATAGGTGCACGATTTCATATTCCATCCATCGAATATCATGCCACTGTATTGTTAGTGCATACAACTGTGATTGGTTAGATCTAAGAGTTCGAAATCAGCAAAGAGTGACTTTCCATCGGTGAAGATACTTTAAATAGTATTAGTAAACATAATTTTTATAGTTGTTAGATAATGTTGCTGGCCTACCTGTACGTACCTACCCATACCTATACCTACCTTATATAATTATCATATCTTTCATCTATCAATTTTTACGAAAGTAATGAAATATGAAGTGGCTGTGTTCCATTCTGTTCAGCTTTGGCGTAACTTATAACATGTTTTCGCACTTGCCCGTTTTCGATGTAATATGTGTAGGTGCAGCATGTGAATGTTAGCAATGTACTTGCTACATCTATAGTCCACGTGCCACCCCAGTGCAACGTTTGCTACGCAAAACTTTTTGCGTAAGTTATAACAGTATAACATGTATCTTATAACTTATAACATAACGCATAATGTATGTTATAAATTTATTGTGCCGCAATATGACAACTCTTAGATTTCAATTAAATATTCATTCGTATAGTAGGGATAGTAGGTGATTTGTTTATAAAGGACCCCAATGGAATTTGTAAGGTTATTCGATAGCCCCAGTCACAAGAAACACAGAGCCGGTTTACCGAATTACAAAATTCCACTTGCTGACGATTTACGGTTTTTTTTGTGAAGAAAAATTTGTCCCAATTTTTGTCCATCAGTTAACTATGAAGGTATAGGTATAGGTATAGATTATATCTTCTAGATTTCTTAACCAATGGCTCGGTTCCGCGATCACAGTTATCGCGACATTGATTCCCGTAGGTGCGCTACGGATATACTACTTCGGGTAGTACAGCTGCAGTGGAATTGGCGCAACATGCAACCAAAAAGAGTGCGCGAAAAGACAAAACATTCTGCGTGAGCTAGCCGCGGTGATGGTAGTCTGTTATTTAAAACCTGAGTCATAGTTATATGCTACCAGGTTCCAAGGGACAGCTTGGCCTTGTACGAGCTGGGAGTCACAGTCTTTAAATGTGGTTCCAGTATATAACATATTAGATCCCCGTAGTGCAGTCTGTGTTATAATTAGTCCGCCTACCATAGCATATAGGCGAATTATGAACGTGAAAGTATGTAAGACTTTCAGATACATAACCTGTTTTGTCGTTGACCGTATATTATTTTATATATATTATTAAAGCCGTTTTGCTCTGGATTTAATACATGTATCGTACACGTGAGTTTTTGTGTGTTAATTTTCTGCGCGTACTTGCATGGTATATATGTGGAATGTGGTTGGTAAAATGCTGTCTGCGGACAGTGGACTGGGTGAAAATTGTTATTAAACTATTTCTAAATTAATTAAAACACTAAATTGACTACGGTCAGTAATGTTGCCATTTTTGTAATTAAGGAGTAAGAACTGAACGAGGACTAAACGTATCGTCGGAAATTGCTACTGAATAAGATTGTTTCTCAACTAGTTAAAAATGCAAAAAAATTCTGGTGAAATTTGATATTACTGTTCCTGACATTAATTGCTTGCTATGGGCTATGTAATACGTCACGAGTGTATGGTTCACATCGAACAATTCTTACTATAAACTTGGAGGTTCTTCTCTGTGTGTGCTGTCTGGTGTGTCGTGTGTGTTGTGTGTGGTGTGTGTGTGTGTGTGTGTGTGTGTCGATGTGTGCTGTGTGTGTGTGTGTGTGCGTGTGTGTGTGTGTGTGCATGTGTGTGTGTGTCTGTGTGTGTGAATGTGTGTGTGTGTGTGTGTGATCTCGTTAAGTTTTTCTGCGAAGTTTTTCTGCACAAGAGCAATCAGGTCGACCGCAGGGGTAGACGAAGTTTTTGCTATAAGCAGCACGCTGGGACGATGTAATATATGCAAAAATGCTGTACGTACGCTCTCAAAACGATTTCAAAACAAATACTCATCCAACAGCTTCGATCTTTGTTTCTATTTGAAGAACAGTGTTGACTTCTTATGAAAACATAATGTCTCTGTTCCTATCTGAGCTGTGTCACGCGAAATCACACAGAGACTGACGAAATTCTCGCCACGACGCCACGCCACGCGCTGACGCCACGAAGGCGGAGCTTTTCCAGATAACATCGTGATAATCATAATGGCAAACATGAGAACATCACATTGGTGCGTCAAGATGGATACGGGAAGTCGGAGCGGTAATGACGATTGCAGGGCTAGACGGCTACCGACCTTCACTCAGCCAACTATCGTTGGCTACACTGAAGTGAGTTACGCTAGCGTGTCGAACTGTGCACCGCGCGGCAGTCTAGGTCATCGAGCCGAGCTTTTTTTTTAAAAATACTTGAAAATGGTACGTAGATGGACTCGTTGCGCCATCTATGGGACGCGATAACTTCGAAAATAATTTCAGGGCATGAAACAGACAAAACTCTAAATTCGTTTTCTACAGGAAAAAGACGCGCGCCGAGCCGCAAAGCAACAATAACGAGCATTTGGATTTATGCTCGCCCTACGTGCATACTCGAAAGGCTTCTGGAATGCCCACAACTGCTCAATTGACCGATTACACCGCTTTATCCTCTACTCGAATAGTACTGTGAGAAATTTTTTTTCAACAGGGCAGCGATTTCGATCAAAAGGGGCCGCGAGGCGGCGCTGTTCGCGCTTCGCGCGGATATCCGGCTGCAGATCGTCAAGACAAATTCTCACACTGTAACGCTTTAACGTGAGACTCGAGAGTCGTGGCAAGCGTGGCAAGCATTTAAAACAAGAGAACAAATACCATACGCCATTTGTAAATGTATTATTTTGGTTTACGATCGGTAGATAATTAATGTTTTTGACGTGTTTTTCAAGAAAAACATGATATTACTCATTAATATAAAATATTATATCACTATAATTGTAATTCTTAGTCTAAATATGTTATTTTCATCTTAATATTAAAGTTACGAGAGGGTCTGGTAATGTTATAAGGATATTTGCGAAGATTTTTCGTTCTCGTAACATTACGATGTTTAAAAGTCTAGTTTTAAGACTAATTTTGTTTCTGACAACCGGCCCCTGATGTATAAGCTAAACATATCACAATCGAAGCAGAAGTTTTTTTAGCTCACCTTTACATCATCAAGCTGAGCTATTGCCATGGGTCGTCGTACGTCCGTCCGTCCGTCAACATTTGGCTACGGTCAACGATAACTCAGGAACCGTTTGATCCACATGTTTGAAATTGGGAATAGTTGTTACTGCTATGCTCCCATATTAAACGTCCTATTTTGGAGCACGCCAGTCGACGTACTTTCGAGCCACGGCAATTTTTGGGCAAAAATGGGAATTGCCATTAGTCAGTTCAGGTTCAACGGATTTTGCTCATTTTTGGTATGTGAATGAATAAGGGCTAGTGGTTTTGGTATTTAAAAAAAATTTATGCAAATTATGTAGGGTTTGGCAATTATATAGCATATATAGACATGCAGGTAACAAACAGTCTGTGGTGTCACACTCGTCTGGTTCGTTTTACAAGATTTCATTGACAATATCTTTAATGAAAAATTCCTGCTATGAACATATTATGATTTATACTATTATTATTATATTATTATTATGATATAATGATTTATACTAAGAAACATCAAAGCGGGTATAGCGCCATCTAACGTCACAGATTGTGATTCATTTTGGTTTATAAATTATTTATAATTTATATATAATATTATTATTATTTTCACATTTAAATTACACATAATTATCAAGAGTATATAATTGGAGTTCTCCCATATATACTCTTCGTTTCTATAATGTACGTCTATGGTTGCTCAATTAAAACTGACTTCTTCTCACTCACTCATTTGTGTCCTTTTTTGTGGTGAGCTACAGTGTCATTGACACTTTCATTGGTGATGAGTAATGACTTTAAAGGTACTAACTATAATGTAATATCTGCTTCGTAATGCAACATGGTATTAAACAATATGTTTTATGTAATAAGTCATTTATTGGTTAAAAGCAGTTAGGTGATATAAAGTCTATAGCATCATGTTTCAGATTCATTTTATTTGGTTATTTTAGGTGAATGTCACAATACTTGTATGGTGGGAGGTTGTGTTTCCTTTAGTTACCTTACTGGAGTGTTCTCTAGTATTTTTAGGGAGGTATGTTTTAGTAAGCCATCACAAAGGTGTTTGTGTCAGGTATAATGATTTAAGCAAAGGATGTAATTGCAGGAAGAGAACCAGAATATGCAGAAGGTTGTTGCCATGAATAATGATCACCGTGCACGAAGTAGGCACCAGACTGCAATGCAGTTGCTACATAATGAAAACGAAACTAGGAACAAACTACAAAACCAAAGAATCATTTTTCGGTAAGTTCCTCATTCATTCAAATGTAAAGCCTCCAAATAATCCTAATTTACCTGCCCCATTGCTTCAACACTAACCAATTTTGCATGATACCTTCAGGGTGTGAAATTAACACAAATCCGGAATCAAATACTCTGATTTACTGTCGGACTCTCTGATTTGACATATGCAGGAGTCTGTGTGACTCCCTGAAAACTCTGCTATATTAACTAGTTCGTTCCAGAGCACGGCCTCGCGGAATTACCGTATTTTTCCAGCAAATGTCCAAAGAAAATTTGGCAGACGTGCAACCGCATGAATCTTTAAAATAAGCACATGCATTTGTTGGGTTCATCACAGCTGTCGTGATGGGGGAATATTTTAACAACCGAAATTGAGAACAAAGCAAACAAAACCATTCAATTTCTACGCCATTACCGGAAGCTTAGAATACACATCCTGGTCGATTTATTTTTACTAATAGTGACTACTACTAACACTGGAGGGCTCCACTATACAGTCATAGTTTACGTTTACAGTATTACACTCGCTGATAATATGCATTGAGGTCACCCCCACTTGATCTCATACCTGTAAAGTCTACACATCAAAGACTTAGTGAATGGTGTAAAACTGTTCCCAGTAATGTGGAACTATTTTATACGGCAGAGAGTGAATTCACATTCGACCCACTACTCATCAGGCAGATTATTTCATTTCCAATGTAATTTTTTTATATGGAGTGCAACCCTCCATTAAAAACCATTGCCACAGTCTAAGCATCGACAGCAGCAAATTAATGTATTACACTACCCATCAGATCATTAGATGACCACTGATGCTGCACAGTGCTAACTTGCTGGACATACTACTTACAATGCATTTTCTGTAATATATCTGTAGACGTTTGTGTTTGTGTGATTGTGACAATATGATGACAACACTAGGAAGTCGGCATTGGAAGTGGAGAAAGCAAGGGCTTCAGCAATTGCTTCTAGGACCATCCCTATAGACTCTGTCAAAGAAGCACTCCAAAGTACCAGTGATATTGGTATGCATATCTATCTATCTATACTATAATGCGGTTAATCTTGTGTGTCTGTGTGTGTGTTTGTTTGACCTCGCTTTTCTCCATGATTTTTCACTCAATCGCGCTAACTGAAGATATATTCAGAATGGATGGATGGATGGATGCATGGATAGATACATAAATAGATAGATAGATTTTGCGGTATTTTCCTTTCAACCAATGGTCACTAACTGAGCGCTTTCCTCCCCCCTCAATTATAGAATTGCGCTCTTTGTTTCTTCCCAAAATGTTTTTTTGTTTCTGTTTTTTTTTCAGTTGCATGAAATATTTAACTTCAACTGTGTCACTTATATGAAGTTTATATTTTAAGGCACGATTTGGTCGTTATACGGGTATTAGTCTGCTAGTATATATAAAGTTGTAAAATTTAGAAAAATTAAAAAGTTAAAAATTCATAAAAATGCTATTCATCAATAGATGACGGTGCGTACAGATTTGCATCACGTACGTGTGAATCCATGGGGTATACCCTTAACGGTGCAGTGGCCTAATTGCTAGAACATCCGTCTCGTACACCGGGATTCCGGGTTCGTCTTATAATTAATGTCTTTTATCTTTTGATTTCTTATTATTTTTAAGTTTTACTGTTTGGGATGGGATGGCATGGCATGGCATGGCATGGCATGGCATGGCATGCGATGGGATGGCATGGGATGGCATGAGATGCGATGAGATGGGATGCGGTGCGATGGGATGGGATGGGATGGGATGGATAGATGCATGGATAGATACATAGTTCGATTTTTAGCTCACCTTGACATCGTCAAGCTGAGCTATTGCCATGGGTCGTCGTCCGTCGTACGTCCAGCCGCCCGTCCGTCCGTCAACATTTGGCTTCGGTCAACAATAACTCAGGAACCGTTTGACCCACATGTTTGAAATTGGGTGTAGTTGTTACTGCTATGCTCCCATATTAAACGTCCTATTTTGGAGCACGCCAGTCGGCGTACTTTCGAGCCACGGCAATTTTTTGGCAAAAATGGGAATTGCCATCAGGTTCAACGGATTTTGTTCATTTTTGGTATGTGAATGAATAAGGGCTAATGGTTTTGATATTTCAAAAAAAATATGCAAATTATGTAGGGTTTGGCAATTATATAGCATATAACGCAGATAACAAACAGTCTGTGGTGTGACACTCGTCTGGTTCGTTTTACAAGATTTCATTGACAATATCTTTAATGCAAAATTGGTATTTCCTCGCCACCCTGCCGATAAAACGTCTATATTAGAGTAAAGTTTTCCAAAACATGTCGGAACGCAGCATAACCTATTTATTTTGAACGCCATCGCTACAAAGCGGGTATAGCGCCATCTACCGTCACAAATTGTGATTCATTTTGGTTTATAAATTATTATTGCGATATACAGATGGCAATCGTTTCTATAATGTACGTCGATGGTTGCTCAATTAAAACTGACTTCAACTTACTCACTCATTTGTGTCCTTTTTTGTAGTGAGCTACAGTGTCATTGACACTTTCATTTGGTGTATTTTCCTTTCAACCAAGTGGTCACCAACTGAGTAACGCCACTGATTTCCCCGGGCAACGTTGGGTATCCCGCTAGTACTATATATATGGTTACTGAGCAATGCCAATTTACACTTTCAGATTTATTAGCTCGTCAGATGGAGGTTGTAGAATCGCTTGAGCGTCCCGTCCGTCCGTGCGTCCGTCAACAGTTGGGCACAAATCTAAACGGCTCGACGTACGGATTCGAAAGTCGGGACAATCCGAGGGGGGAGGGTAATCCGAAAATGAGTGGGGATGTCGAAGCTGGGGGTCAAAGGTCAAAGGTCAAGAGGTGTAAAAGAAGGGAGGGAACATTCCCTCATTAACTTAAGGTATATGGAGAAAATGCGACACAAATCTAAACGGCTTGACCTAGGCTCGTGATAGTCGGTGTATAGCATCATGGTAGGAAACGCCATCACTGTGGCGAAATTGGAGGTCACAGGTCAAAGGGCAGTGGGGAAAGGTCAGATATCAGACATTGCCTAATGGACAGAGTGAAAAACTTTTTTGTTTTAGCGCTGACCTACCATTTTTATCACTTTATTGAAAGGACCATGAAATGTGCTTTCCACTGATGTGCGAAGAGTAAGTGTCTGATAACCTTTTGACCCTCAAGAGGAGGGTTAAACATGGATTCCTGAACTGCCTCAATGATGTCACAGTGTTCTCATATTCATGGCACATCCATAATCTAGAAAGCCAATATGCCCTGATAGCCCAACGGGTACAGCACAGGATTATGTCTCAAAGGTCCTTGGATAGAATCCCATCAGATTTTTTATTATTTACCTGTTTTCTGTATTTTTCTATCTTTATCCATGTAACTATTTTTTTCCAATTAACGCAAATATTTACATGATTTATTTACAACAATTTAATAAGAACAAATAATTTTTACAACAATTAAATTATTAAAACAAAAATAGGGTTAGGGTCAGGGTCACAATGCACCATAAAACAGGAGTTTCAGGCACGCGATTTGTATCAACCAATGGGATTTGGGATGTATGCAGAATGCAGAAGGTTGCTGAAATGATGTGTACGCAACTACGTATCTGTGTCACGAGTTGACGCTATAGGGCTAGTGAGGCATGCACGCATACACTGTAGACGGAAATGTTTAGTAACGTCAGATAATGAAAAGTTTAATAAACTATATAACAGTTTTATTGCAAGATTACGGAAAACTATATATACATTAAATGATACGCATAATACAATTCTAATACAGAAATGATTAAGAACTGTTACAGCACAACCGCCGATGGGTCCTCCTTAGTTCCTCGGCCTCTTCATTCGCTTCTTCGGCTTCTTCTCCCTTCCTCTTCTTCTCCTTCTCCTTCTGCTTCTTCTCCTGCTGGGCACTTCTCTTCTTCGTCGGCTTCTTCTCCTGCTGGGCACTTCTCTATGGGGCGCCAAGTGTCGCATGACTGATTTCGTTACGAAATCAAGTCTACAAAGTCATTTCTTTACGAAATCAACTACTGCGAGTCATTTCGTTACGAAATCAGCTACTTCGAGTCATTTCGTGACGAAATCAGCTACTGCGAGTTATTTCGTTACGAAATCATGCTACACTTGGCGTGTACAGGTACACACACGTACCCGCGGGTACATGCTACACTTGGCGCCCCATAGATTTCGTTACAAAATCATTGATTTCATAACGAAATAACTCGCAGTAGCTGATTTCGTAACGAAATGACTCGCAGTAGCTGATTTCGTCCCGAAATCACTCGCAGTAGTTGATTTCGTAACGAAATGACTTTGTAGACTTGATTTCGTTACGAAATCAATAATTTTGTAACGAAATCAAGTCATGCGACACTTGGCGCGCCGGCGCGCCAAGTGTAGATACCGCAGTAGCTGATTTCGTCACGAAATCACTCGCAGTAGTTGATTTCGTAACGAAATGACTTTGTAGACTTGATTTCGTTACGAAATCAATAATTTCGTAACGAAATCAAGTCATGCGACACTTGGCGCGCCAAGTGTAGCATGATTTCGTAACGAAATAACTCGCAGTAGCTGATTTCGTCACGAAATGACTCGCAGTAGTTGATTTCGTAACGAAATGACTTTGTAGACTTGATTTCGTTACGAAATCAATAATTTTGTAACGAAATCAAGTCATGCGACAGCATGATTTCGTAACGAAATCACTCGCAGTAGCTGATTTCGTAACGAAATCACTCGCAGTAGCTGATTTCGTAACGAAATGACTTTGTACACTTGATTTCGTTACGAAATCAATGATTTCGTAACGAAATCAGTCATGCGACACTTGGCGCGCCAAGTGTAGCATGATTTCGTAACGAAATAATTCGCAGTAGCTGATTTCGTCACGAAATTACTCGCACTAGCTGAGTTCGTAACGAAATGACTCGCAGTAGTTGATTTCGTAACGAAATGACTTTGTAGACTTGAT